CGTCATCGCAAGGTACTCCGTGACAACATCCAGGGAATTACCAAGCCGGCCATTCGTCGGTTAGCCCGCCGTGGAGGTGTCAAGCGTATTTCTGGTCTCATCTACGAGGAAACCCGTGGCGTGTTGAAGGTGTTTTTGGAAAACGTCATCCGTGACGCCGTCACCTATACCGAACACGCCAAGAGAAAGACGGTAACCGCAATGGACGTTGTCTACGCTTTGAAACGTCAAGGACGTACCCTGTACGGTTTCGGAGGATAAATCTTCTCGTTTGTCTTGCAAATTGTTCTTAATCTACAAAAAAAAAGGCCCTTTTCAGGGCCACCAATTATTAAATTACATATTATCATATGTCGTCTTTATATATATATTTGACGTACTAATAATATTATTTGTACAACATATTTTTATTGATAAACCTTTTGCAATGAAACAAACATTTGACGTCGAAATTCTTTCACTAAAAGCGTTCTTGGCATCAACGCAGTTTATACCTATATTAGTAGATGGCATGTTGATCCATTCTACGAGTAATTGCAATGTCGTATCCTTGTTCTGCAAATTTATCAATAATTCTGAGTCTATCGCTTGTAAACGATTCAACTCACAATTGTCGAGTTCTAGTGGTACATGAATAGATAACAACACTGGATTATATTAGCACCGGCTAACATTTTAGTAAAATAACTAATATATTCGAGTTATTTGGCTCGTCGAGGAGGTAATTTATTCGCGTTACGAGTGCAATTGCGTAAATGAGTAGTTTCTGAAAATGTTTGATTGAGTCATGAATCGGCTAGAGCTCACGATCATAAGCAAAGTTTTTTTGAAAATATGCAAGAGGTTTCCACATCTCATTTTGGAATGGTTCGATGACACTACCAATCGCTACATCCTACGCATAAGTACTAATAGAATGTTGGTAAAAATTACATATAGTGAGAAAAAAACGTGGTTCATGAACACATTTTAGACGTGGATATTTTTCAATTACTTCAATGTTTTTGTGGATTGAATTTCAAACCGTTTTTCGTAACCATATGACCCGAAAAAATTACTTCGGTCTGTCTGAAAATACATTTACTAGGAATGATTACTACTTCTTGGTCATAAAGTTTTTGAAAAAACTATTTCCAAGCGCTTTAAGTGCTTTTGTTCTGAACTGGATGCAATCAGAATGTCATCTAGATAATTGAAGATCTTTAAGAACACCATGTATAAAACGCTTGATGCTATGATACCGGCGGTGTGTTCGGGATCCGGTGTAGTCGCGGTTACACGTTCGTGTTTGCATGGGTCGAAATTTTTATTTAATTTACTTACAAAAAAAAAAAAAAACTTAACTTGAAGGTTACCAATTAGGTTTGATATTGATACATGTGGCAAATGTAAACTGGGCCCACGTTTATCTTTTTTGTTGTAAACTCGGCCCGGAAATCTTGGGCAATAAAATAAACTCGGCCCGGACGTTTAAGATAATAAAAAAGGTCGGTTAGGTTAAAAAGCTCGTCCCGATAATTTTGACCAATAATATATATATATATATATATATATAATAAGCACGACATAATTTAATTTACAAATAATAAATTGGTAACGTACCTGTATCTTATCATGAACAATTTGTTGTTAACCAATATTTAAACGTTGAGACAAATATTTTCATTTTCGTATTGAACTTTTGAAACAACGTTTCTGTAGTGTTTATACAACCGTGACGATGACACGCATAGTTGAGTCCCAACGTGGACAACCACTGTTAGTCTTAGAACATTTTAAATATTCTAAAGTAACTCGTACGTTAGCTTCAGGCGAAATAAAGTGGCGATGTACAAACCGCAAATGTACAGCGTTTTTAAAAACATTTGGAATAAATAATAATATTACGGAGAAAAATGATGATCATGACCACGAACCTGTCAGGGACCAAGTACTACAAAGGCAATGTGTTACTGCCGTGGCTAAACGCAAAGCAACTGAGGATACATCAACTAGGCGAAATAAAATTGTTTGTAGTGCAGTAAACAGTGTACCTGACGCGCAAGATCTGCAAGTAAGCGGTATTCGGTATGTTTAGAGGATCACCAGAAGAAAAATCAATACCTGCACTACCAGAATTGATCGACGAAGTCCATGAGGTATTAGAAAGTATGGAAATAGTTACAAATAGGAATTTACATTTTTCATTAATTAATTATAGACAAGAAAAAATAATAATTTTTAGTCGTGATCAAAATTTAAAAATCCTCTGGATAATGCTAAATGGTTCTCAAATATCATAAGAATATTTTTTATTTGGGCCGAGTTTACAATAGACTTTTTGAACATTTTTTTTTTCTTCGAGTCGAGTTTACAATCGCCCGATACATGGGTATTAAAAAAAAAAAAATAAGCATACATTAATATTAAGAAATTCAAGTATTTAACAATGTTAATTAAAATAATTACAAATCACAAAATTCATGTACGGTGGCGTATAGCGTATAACGGCGAGAGCAGGACCAACTACAAAAATAAAATAAAATATAGAATACGATATGATTAAAGGTTACACCTGAAGACGCGACGACCGACGACTAATACAGGTATCCCGTATATTAGATGGCGTATCGTCGTCGCTGAGTCGCACGTGTTATTTTGATAACTTGTGGTATTTCCAGTCCCCACGCTTTTGTCATATACATATGTAGTTAATGATAATTTGGGTAATTATTGAAGTGATAACGAAACGAACGTGACCATTTATAGTTTTATTTCATAAGACTCGAGTCGTTATTATTATCACCCGTATTCTATCCGTCAAATGTCGAGAACGCACAACAACAAAATCGGAACAAAACTTGGCCATCAATCGAACAAGAACAGTGAGTCTTCAAATTTCCAAAATCCACATTTTTTTATCATCGTCTCGATAACCTGATTTCGGACATATGTGAAACTACTATAATCAGGATTTTTCAAAAAAACTTTAATAAAGATAAAATATAATTTGCTCCTTTATACCTGCGGTATACCGGATTTTCTTCGTTGGCTATAATTGTGTTTAATATATAATAATATTAGAAAAAACTATTTTATAAATAAATAAACTTATGTGTACAATTGTTTGGCATGATATCAAAAACCAATTCTGAAATCATTATTCCTATGCTCCACCGTCGAACCGAATAATGACCGTTAACTTTAGTGCCGATTTACAAAAAAAAAAAAAAAATGGTTTAAAACTCCATAAAAAACGATTATACTGTGTAAAACACAACGTATAAACATTTAAAATTATACATTAGTAAGCTTAAATAATAAAATATCGTTTTACCGTAGTTTTTTACTGTACACCGTAATTCAACTACACCGATGCCGATTTAGGATACGACTAAACACCACAAATTCAGAATAACGCAATCGGCTCAAATTTTGACCAAATCTAATGAACCAAACGTTGAGTGACGTCAAATTATATGTAGATTGAGTTTAATTTCGAT